ATGGGAGAGTTTCGAGGAACTGAACAAATTATCTCCGCAAAACAAAACCAAAATATCAAAGAAGCGTTGACCCGAGCTGAGCTCGATCTTAAATATTTGACGGGAAAACAGGGCAATTAGCCCGGCAATTATAGTTAAGAGTGGTCAAAGAATTTAGTACTTTACAACTGCATCTGAGATCAACAAATTCTAATCAGCAACACGTACAGAACCATTAACCACAGGAAATAATTACTCAAAATACAACTTCATGACCTCTAAATAAATGTAAGACTTAGTGCAGCAAAAATAAGATCTACTCAGTCAAGTTTAGAACGCAGTGTAGTCACCTAGTATGCGCGAGATAGCAACAAAGAAAAAACTGTGTTTGCTCAAGCAAACTCCAGTTCCGGCCAAGGTCACGTTTTACATTATATCACGAGCTTTGGTGTCGTGTTTAGGCTGTCAACACTTTAGTTCTGATTGGCTGGGAAAAGTGAAACCAAACAAGTTGTCCACAGGATGTCAAAATGAGTTGAAGGGGGCGGCAGTTGAAAAGGCCACAAATCCGGGCAGGCGGTTTTTATTTTTCTCACGGCTTTGCCGCTCGTTCTCGCGCGAATTTCGCGGCTTCGCCACTCTTGCGCCCGGCTCGAAAACCGCCATGCTACGTAGGCTATAGCCTTGATCGCCATAGTGACAATCTCACAGGTTGTTTTCCTCGATCAGCTGTTACTTAAATAGGCATTATAATTTATTCATGGATCAAAATTGAAAACAGTTCATTGCTAGTTTACTTTACTGAGTTTATTAAGTGCCAATTACTGCAAAGCTTTTGTCTTCTTTTATTTTCTTGACCAGACAATGGAATCCGTGTATAATACGCAACGTAAATTTGAAGGTCGATTTCAGGGAAAAAAAGTGCGCATTATACATGGGTAAATGCGGTAACTAAAGTAAATCCTATCTCAACTCCCTCAAGGCAATCCCTGTTTCAAGACAAAGACAGGGCAGACTTGAGGGTAAAGGTTATTTACAGATTGAAAAACACTTATTTCGAGCTGTTTAGAGCGTGTTTGCTCAAGGGTATCCCATCTCAAGTCTTGGAGGATATTCGCAGATCTTGTATTATAATCGCTAAATGTTATAATTCTCCCAGCCCTAGTTTGCAATGTCTGGAGTCTGTCACACAGGCCTTTTCCCATACATCCCCAGACTTCGGAGCAATAATCAAAATAAGGAGCGACTAAAGCATCATGCATGTTCAGTAGGGTTTGGCGAACGAATACATTTTAAGGCCCCCATACCTGCAGATACCTTTTTACAGGTGGTATCTACATCGGATTGCCACCCCAATGCCTCGTCAACCTCTATTCCCAGATATGTATAATTAGTCACCTGAGTCAATTGTTGACTATTAACAGTAACGTTTAAGTCACCATTTAAATGCCTTAGTCGGCAGTGGTTTCCAATTATCATATATTTTGTCTTTTTGACATTAATGTGTTGATGGGATTTCAGCCACTTTTGAACCTCATCCAAGTCTTTGTTTAACTTTTCTTCGAGAGTTGAGGGGTCATAAGCGGAAAGGGTAAGCGAGGTGTCATCAGCATACATGAGTGCAGATGATGACAGCTCGCATTCTTGTAGGCCATTTATATAAATAAAAAACAAGGGTCCAAGTACAGAACCTTGTGGGACCCCACAACTAATAGGAAGATAGTCTGATAGGGTTACATTTACATAAGTACTCTGAAAGGGATTTGATAGGTATGTTTTCAACCACTGAACTGCATGCGGGACGAGACCATAAAGTTGCAGTTTTTTTAACAATACGCTGTTGTCAACCGCATTAAAGGCTTTCTTAAGATCCAGAAAGAGTACACTGTTAATTAGGCCATCATCAATATTTAAGTAGCAGTTGTTAGTAGCTTCAAGCAAAGCAATCAAAGTAGAATGCATCGGTCTGAAACCATGCTGAGAAACTGTCAGCAAATTATTGTGTTAGGTACTCATAAAGTTGTTTGAAAATAACCTTTTCGATTATTTTACTGACAACTGGTAGAATAGATATAGGTCTATAGTTGTTAAGATCAGACTTAATATCCTCCTTATATAAAGGTACTACTTTGGAAATTTTCCACTCGTCTGGAAAATACCCTCACCTAATGGATACGTTAATTATATGGGTGAGAGAAGGCATGATTTCAGGACAAACTCCTTTTAAAAGCCTAGCAGCAATACTATCTAGGCCCGTAGCCTTGTCGACTCGAAGGGAACTCAGTAAATGGTGAACAACACCACAGTGAGTCTAGTCTCCTTCGCAGCCGTTATTAGGGTCCTCCTCACTAACGGCTGCTCACGAGAGAGACACATTCCTTTCCCTTTGTTTGTGAGAACCAATAGAATGCACGTTATTGTTATCGGCTACGCCAATCAAATTCCTCGTTATATTTTCTGGGCGCTTGCTGTACGCGCAAAAACAAAACATGACAGATGCACACGTCCGAAACAACGATCTTGACCTGGGGATCTTAACCAAGTGAAAGATGAATGTTACTCCGAAAAAGTTATTGAATAGTGATACAAATTGCTTTATTTGTTCAGCTGCAGTCACTTCTAAACAACGTGTGCGTGTTTTTAAATCTGGTAGTACGGGAACAAGCTCTTTTGACCTTCAAGGACTTATAAACAAGGCATTGGACATCAACGTAAATGTTTACTCTAATTCGGATGTTGCAGTGTGCATTAAATGCTACAAGTCCTTGGTGAAATACCAAAAAGCGGAAGAACATGTCAAGGAGATAAAAATTGAGCTCCAGTCTTCTTATTCAGCGAGTGGCAGACTTGTGAAACTATTATTGCGCACCGAAAACATAAATAAATTAACAGCTGGCAGTGGGACATCAGTCAAAAAACACCTTTCATTTGTAAGTTTAAATGAGTTTCCTATGACTTGTTCTTCTTCCAACTTAACTCCCTCGAGTTCAGCGTTACCAAGGCTCACTATAAGCCAAATTGGTAAACCACAAGGTTGTTTATTTGACAATGGCACGTTTTCACTCATACGAAGCGCTTTCGCCGCACCATTTGTCACTTCTAGTCCAAAGACAAAACAGACAAATCAGCAAAAAAATGAAACAAAGACGAAGGTCGTCGTTGAGTATCCCAGTAAGACCGTGAACAAAACCCTGTCTGGCGATATGGCACCAATTGTCAAAGCTTTGGCTGACGGTCCACCCTCAAGAATTGCAAAAGCAGTTCTAAAATGCAAGACTTTGAGAACGGAAATCATTTCTCAGGTTCTACGCGTCTTTACATCAGAGATAAATGAACTTTGTTCGAAGAAAAATCCATCGATCCTCAGAAAAACAAGCAAAGATGATCTTATAAACTTTGACATGAAAAAACTTTGCGACAAATGGAAAGAATGCGCACCAGTCTTTTACTCATTTCTGCTAACTTACTCTTCATCAAAAAACACTTCAAGTACAGCTAATTGGTTTCCTAGCATTGCAATCGCGGGTTCTGTCCTCCTTAAACAACGCAACAGCCACATGAATGCAAGTGCCAGTGTTCTTGGAATTAAGGTAATATTTTGCAGATCTTAAAATTAAGTCGTAATTTTTGAACTAGGAGTTGAATTATATTGTATTTCCCTCTGATGTTTACCATATGCACTACCAGTGCTCTGCCTCTTTACCTTTCTTTCTGTCCAATATAGACAACTGACATTACCCTCTCTGCATTTCTAAAATTGCAAGTTGTAGAATTATAATATTTTGGATTGATGCCTACTCAGGGGCAGTTTTAGGTAGGGTGCATGGGGTGGGGACGGGGGGGGGGGCACACCCTATCCTAAGTTAACAGTGAGTTCTTTTATTATATATTTTCCCCAAAACTTACAGAACTGATTTTTACAATGCTGCACTTTCCTGAAGAATGATTGTGGAACTCCCTGTATACCATGGTTTTCTTGAACATTGTTTCATTCAATTATCTCCGTTAATACCCTTATATATTTAACAATTATTCTTTGAAATCGAGGTGAATAGTGGCAAAATATTTACCGAGCCGCGAAAGTGGTGAGGTAAATATTCTGAAAGCCACTATTCACCGAGATTGAAAAGAATAATTGTTTAAGTATTTACCGGTACACACAAAGTGATCTCGACAATATTTTATTAAAACAAAAAACATTTAAAGGCAATTTATTGACACGTCAATTCTTGCGTGATGAATGCACAGTGCACGCGCAAGAGTTATTTACAGAAAGTTCAAACGTGGTAAATCTCTGCTCGCGTTTTTTTCTACAAAATGTTTTCAAAATGGCGTCACGGAAAGCCTAAATTAATAGTCTGGACTTGAAAAAACATCCAAAATCCTCTTTCAAAGTTTACTTAAAGTGGAAATTGAACGAGCAGTTGGAGAAGGAGCCACAGCGTTGGTCAACATGTTTTCTTGAACAAAAATGTTCTCCTGGACATTTGTGGATGTGCTGCAGTGAATTGCTTTGGATACTGTCTCCAAGGGAGAACGATTCACTTCTGCTAGCGGGTTAATGGCAACTTGATGGTCCGGTCTGCAGAAGTTGATTAAATCTGTAATCGCCAAAGACATATTCTTGAACTGCTCGAACGTTGGACGATCGTTGTAGGATTCCAAACTTGCATCGCTTTTGTGGCCCGTGACTGCTCTGGTGTGGCAATTTTTCATATCTTTAGAAGACAAAATATTTACGGTGGTCGACCTGACGCAGTGATTTGTGAAAGGAGGATCAATACCAGCTGGGAGGCACATATTCTTCATCATGCTGTTGATCGTGTTATGGCCTAAAGGAAGTGTTGAATACCAAATGACATCAGAAGACAGTTTAAATTTAGCACCAGTTAAAGGCTTCTGAAAGAGCGCTTCACATTTTGGATTTAAATGGGACAGGTAAGCCTTCACTACTGCTACTGGACAGTTAGCAAGCCCTTTGCCTTTGAACATTTTACCATCAGATGGGTCGTCGGTGCCGT